TCTTGAATACCGCTCCGGAGCGCTATTCAAGGTTTAGTGTATCCCATCATGCATCATGTTTTGGAATAAATCGTAAGATTTTTGCAGAGATCTCGCGAGAGGTTACGGAAACTTTTCCAATGTAAGTTAAATATTAATATAATAATTAGGCTATTATTGCATATAATTTGGTAGAAAAACAGTGTTGCACGTTTTACTGGTGCAAAGAGGAGTAGTGGTGATATTTATTTTGTACACCATTTGCAAATGCTTTTCATCACTTAATTAGAAGCAGCTGCAACTTAAACTGTCATCTGTTATAGGCACTACTGAACAGATATTTAGAAGTTGATTTTAAAATGCAAAGTTTTTAAATTAAAATAAAGCTATGCAAACACTTGCATTTTTACAACACTATAAGTGTGTCCCATACGGTAATGAAAAGTTCGACACACACTTATGGTCTTCATCCGCACTTGAACACTTGGGCCAAATACAGGACATACGTCATATAAGTAGTCAAATGGTCAAGTGCAAAGACCGCAAGTGTGGGTATTTGGACAAGGGGTCAGTGCGATTCACTACCAAAGATTAAAAGATAGAACAATATGAAGAATTTAAACACATTTACAAGATGAAACGATCAATCCATGAAAGAGGAAAACTTAAAAACATCTTGCCATATAAGTGCAAGTAAAAGTTGTACAGTTAGTTTATAGAGTTGATAATATTTAGGTATAAAAACACTTAAAATCTAAGCCCATATGTAGTCATGTTTAAAGCTATTGATTCTAAAACTTATATTGCATATTATCTATGTTTATATTAATTTAAAATAAACGCTTAATTACTATTAAACTAAGCTAACTTGTGTAATGGATTAAGGGTATAATAATTATATCATATAAAATAATTAAAAAAATTAATCTCTAAAAATCAGACAATTTTATCTTTAAAAATGTTTTTCTATGTAGTGTCCTTTAATTTGGAGTAAGAGAAACTGGGGGAGTGGGGTATGTGAATAATGGCAGTAAAAAAT